TTGCTTTTGTCTGCATTCGGATATACTATGTCCGTATCGTTGGCCATAATTACACCATTTTTTGAAAGATGGTTTGCCTCTAAAATTTGGGTGTTTTTCATAAATATTTAGTATTTCAGTGATTTTTTCAACGAGGTCTGTATCTGATTCCTGTATGTTATTGATATTTGTAGTGTTTGTTTCGATTCGATTAACATACTGTAGTTTCAGATTTTCTGTTTCTTCAAGTTTCATTGTGATTTCCGCTTGCTCTAGTTTGTCTACTAGTTTTCGAAAATCTAAATTGGGTTCTCGAATTGAGGAAGGATGAGATGCTCTCTTTTTTATTGCTATTTTCCTTAATTGAGTTGTTAAGGTCATCATTAAAATTTCTGTCATTTTTGTGTTTTATAGTCATGTGTATTTAATGAATATGCTTTTCTAACTAGTGTTTCGATGCGTACTGCTAATTGTTTGATGGTTTCATTTGGTAATCTGCGAATTTCATTACATAAAACTCTTTGGTGTTGTTTAATTTTTTCGGAGTCAAACATTTTTGAAAATTCTTGTGTGAATCTTTTCCAATTTGATTTTATTTCTATAGGTAATACTGAAAACCATTTTTGGGCTGCGCCATCTAAGGTTGTTTGTATCAACGCTGTGCGTCGATGTATCCAATTTTGATGTAGTGGTGTATTAATTGGTTCAGGTCCTATATTTAAAATTAAATTTGCTGTTACTGCATTTAAATAATCTTCTACAGAATATTCAGGGTCTGTTCCTGTGAATACCATTAATGGTTTGTTTGATGTTATTGATGATCCACCCATAAGGTATGGATTCATTGTCCTTTGAAGTTATTCTGCGGCATTTGGCATTTGTGAAAAATTTGAAAGTTGATTTTTTGTTATTTCGTGTTGTTGAAGGTAATATGGGAGTGGTATTTCATTTTGCATTTGAGTTGGTTGATACGAGTGTGTGATCATTGGGTTTTGTGGCTGAATTGGTTGAAAAGATTGTGTATTAGTTGGATTTTGCATTTGTATTGGTTGTTGATTTTGTGTATCTGTTGGACTTGGAGAAAAAATTCTATGATATGTATAAGGTTTTTGCACTCCTTGTCCGCGATATTCTTGAGTATACGGTGCAAAAATATCTGGTTGTAAATAATCATCATCAGATGATAAGTAATCCGTATGATGAGGTGCTTGCTTTTTATTTTTATTTTGTTGAAAGAATGGGTAATTTTCACTACGATCCTGCGGAGGATGTGAATTAGTTTGAAAATTTACTGAGTTGGTTGTTGTCATTGGGTTATCCGAATATCGAGATCTTACATGATTATTATTAGTTTTTCGTGGGGGATAGTTTGTTTTTGATGAATGTGCGTAATTATAATTGTGTTCTGCAAAAGTGTTTCTTGTGAACGTTCTTCGTGTTTTTGACGGTACTGTCATAGGTCTATATGTTTGATAATCCATTTGAGAATATTTTGGAGCAACCGAAGGTTTAACGGTTGATTGTAAGGTTACTTGTGCCAGTGAAGTGTTCGTATTTTTTGGTGTTGTTAAATTTGGACGTATCTGTGAAATGCTTTGTTGTGTAGTTGTTGTTGTTTGGACGATTTCTTCATTTATAAAGTGTGATGGTGTTTGGATATCTTGTTGTGTAAGATTCCTAGTTCCATTAAGGTTTTCATTGTGTATGACGGTCGAATTTAAACTGTTATTTCGCGTATCAGGTAAAAATGTATTGTAGTTTAATGGTGTTGCATCAATGGTCAGTGGTACTACTCTCACATAATCTCTTTGATAAGATATTGTACTTATTGCTTGACTTGAGATTGATTGTGGGATATGAGAGACCATTCAGGGTCCCAAACGTAGTCTGACTGTTCTGTGATGGCAGTATCATCGTTTGGATTTTGAGGTCTGAAATTTTTTCTTGCTTGTGAAATTAAGTCTATATTATGTGTGAAATAATCTATTGTAAACCATGCCAAAATTTTTTGTAAGTCATGTTTTGTGTGTAGTGAAACTTCGTCTTTCGTGAAATTTTCTTTGATTATATGTAGAAAAATTGAAAATAATGTGATTTCTTGTCGTACTTTTGTATGTTTAGATGTCTCGGTTGGTGAAATACTTTTAAATTCTGTTTTTTCTAATATTGAAATATAGCTATAGATTATTGCAAAAACTTCGTTAGTGAATATGGAATTTGCTCTTTGCGAATTATGATATTGTATGCTTTTAATAAATTCTAAGAATACTTTTGAAAATTCTAATTCAAGATCGTCTGTTTGAATTACATATTTGCGGTGATTCGGATTTAGTGTGCTGAATTCTATGGTGTAGATTCCGTATTGTTGTGTTAAATTACATATATCTTTCAGATAATGTTCAATAGTTTGTCTTTTGATTTTTTCATCTGGGAAATCTGCTTTGCATGGGTTGATTCCGGGTTCAAACAAATATAGGAGTAAATTCTTGCAAAAGTCATGCTGCCCTCTATTATCGGGTGCATCTATGAGGAAGGGGTAAACCTCTTCGTCATCTGGACTTTCGTCACTTTGAGTGTGGCTGTGGCTCATTTTTTCGTTTAATGACTGTTAATATATAACTATCGATGTGTCTAATTGGTTGATTCCAATTATACAAGTGTACTGGTTTGTGTTTATATTGCTTTTTTATTCTTCTTTTTCCTCTTTTTGATGAATTTGAAGTTGTTTCTGAGTCGGAAAAATATAATTGATCGTGAATGGGACAATTTTTATCAATCGATTCTTTTAATTTATAGAGTTCATCTAAATTGCTGGCTTCTGATTCTGAAAATGCGTTTCTATTTTTTGAAAATCTTTTTCGTGTGATTTGTCTTTGTTTGTTTATTATTTTTTTTTATTGTTAGTCGTTTTGTTCTGATATATCCAACTGTTTGTGTATGAGGTGTGATTACAAGATCGTATTTTTTGTTATCTATTTCACAGTTGTGTAAAACGATTGTTTGTTTATTTCCTAGATTTTTGAATGACATAAGTTTTAGGATGAGGGATGCAAAAAGTTGTTAGATGATGTCTATTTCCTTAAACTGTTAGTCCTTTCGATTTTTTGGTTAGCTTAACCTGGGTCTATTTGTTCAGGGTTGGAGAGAAAAGTATATCGATTCCGAAGAATGATTTTTTACTTTCTCCTGGCTAATATAAGCTAAGGTGTTAACTTACTTAATCTTACTTAGGGATAATGATTGTGTTCAAGGGTTGGAGAATAGTAAATCGATCCACAAGGTTCAGGTATAATTAGAACGCGAGTAGTTCGTTAGGTACTATTTTAAACTTACTAAGTCTAAGATTTATCCTGGACCTGGTAAAAGGAGGGTTCAAGTGAAGGATGAATAACCGAAGTTCTTCACTGTTTATCCTAATTTGAATGGTTAGTTTTGTTGAAAAATTTCTATTAGTCTTGGGTTTTTTTGGAAGGGTTGGATAGTGAATCGACGGTTGAGGTCGTTAGACACTTGCTAAGTGGGTGGGGGAGAACAAAATTGTTCTTTTTGATCCAAGGATAGGCCTTGATGATCAAGTTTTAAATTTAGTGAAATAGAAAATTAATTAAGATCCAAGGATAAGCCTTGATGATCTGATTTTAAAATTAAGTGAATTTAAGTTTAAAATGGTTTAAATTTATTTAAGAAAAATATTTAGTTTTTTAATGATATTAGTTAGCTTATGATTGCTGTTATGTTTAGGTGATGAAGCTGGGACAACAGATGATTTTATGATTACTAACAATTTATTGTCATGCTACTAATTTTTGTTTTGATTTTCAATAAACATTTTCCAAACATGTTTCAAATAATACTGCAGAATTTAAGAAAACGGTCTGAGATCTTTTTATCAATCGTTATTGTATATTAATAATTTTGTTTAGCGCCTGAAATGATCATGAAGATTGACTTCAAGATTTTATGTTTGCAAATGAAAATCTAAATTCATTGCTAATAAGGTTCTAAATAAAAAAGTTTGTGTTGGCTTTTGTCGTACTATCATATAACTATATGGTAAGTTTCTACTTTGTCGTATGTCGTCTCTGGTTCGAGGTCTTCTTACGATTCCGGGTAGTTCTGTTATCGTTCGGAATATCGGCTCTGATCTATTGAGTCGTAGAGACATTTCGATTAAATTATCGTCGTATAACATTTTTAAAATGTTTTGTCTAAATTCTAATCTATTTTTGGTTAATTCTAAGCTATTAAGGTCTTATTCGAGACTTATGGTCGCACCAGATGAGTTAGGACCGATGTGGTTAACTCATAGAGTAATTTCGGATAGGGTACACCGTCTGCTCGTCACGCTATCTTATTTTCGGCCGGATAGATTCGTGCAACTTCTTAGTCTAATACCGATCCTAATCTTACTCTTATACTTTCTAGTCTCAGGGAGTTTAACTCTTCTCTGCTAGGCTCAATAGATCTAGGGTATACTGGTTTGTTGCGGCTGCTGAAGTTCTTTTGGAGGCAACTAATTTCTAAGTTAAATTCAAATCTCTCTGGTGCTGAAATTACAAGTAATTTCAGCACTTACAAATAAGTGGGTTGTTAGTTAGATGGATCATGATTGGTTAATCTTAAATACTTTACAGTGGTAAAATATCTAATTTATTCAATCATAAAATATAGTTTAGATCAGGTTCCATTAGGCCACAACTTTTTTGGCTTTTTTTCATGATTTAGAATCTTGAACTCCATTTTAAAATCATAATTTAAACAAATTGTGACTATACTTAAGGCAACCTTTTGGAGATTATGGTTACGTTTTCACGATTTTAAAAAACGATTGTTTCATATTATGACGTAATTTATCTTACTTCATTAAAACACCCTGTGGCAACGAGACCAGCTTACATTTTGACCTTTTTCCTTCCATCAATTCTTTAGATTTCTTTTGACTTTTTCTCGAGACTTCTTTGCTATCAAATTTTTCACCAGGATTTTTTCACGGTTAAAACTTGTTTTTTGTTCAAAAGAAGAAATCCACCACAGCATACGAACTCAACGAAAATCATCTCCCAAATGCTAAAAAAGAGACCGTCGCCCCATAAAAAGACAATTGCAGATGTCGCGGACACCTCTCAGTCACCTCAGAATTACCAGAACCCACCAGCACCGTACAGGCAGGTATGTAACCTTTACGTGCATTTAAAGACTACAAAAGGTGAAACGTTACGGCTATAGGCTTGATGCGCTCTTTGAACAACTATTGTTCTTTGAAAATAACTGTTCAATGATTTGCTTGAAAAGTAAAATGTTTCAGAATTAGAAGAAAAAAAATTGTTTCCATATTGATAATTTGTTTTTCTGTGTGTAGCTGAAAAAAACTCACAAATTAAATTTACTGAAATGCAGTTAAAAAGCCCAGTTAAACTGTTCAAAGATCTCCAGTTTTGTATTTCAGAAACCAAACCAACATGAAGAAGATCACTATGAAACAATTCCAAAATCCAACCTTGACGACCCAAGACGAAAATACAAAACGAACACTGCAGCAGTTAGACCGTCACAAAATAGAGACAACTCTCCTGACCTGGAATTTGCTCCTAATTTGCGAAAAGCAGCCAGCATGCCAGATATTCACCATAATTCCAATTTGAGAGGTATTTTAAGAGAAGATTTAAATCGGTTGAAAAAGTCTCCAGTTAAAAAATCTGAGGGTTAAAAGCAGCTCTTTTATACAATTTGTGGGAAACCGTTTTTGTTCATGATGTACTTTATGTTACAAAAAAGTTTAAAAACAAATTAAATTGTACAAACTTTGAAACAAAAAAATTTAAGTGATCAGTGATTGTAAATCACACAAACGGTAAAATTTCCTTCAAATGTTTGAACTTACTTCTTTGTTTCGACCACTAAAAGTGGGGACGAACTTGTTCTTCTCCATGAAAAAATAGGAGTCTTAAAAATCATTGGAATGGGTCGAGTGAGATATCATACTAAAGGTTTTTCAATCGCGGTTCGGAAGTCATCAACTTTTTTTTTCAAAACATTTTCCGGTGTCAAGAAAAACCGCTTAGAAATTTTTCTAGCATTTGTCTAATTTCGAGCAAGCAACGCGAGTGAGTAGACCTTATGAAAGAAAAATTTTCAACTAAATGGTAAAAAAATTAGCTTTACTCTGGGAAAACTAGTCTTGGAAGCTTCATTCAGCACTTCCGTGACAAAAAAGTCCTAAACATTTATAAATTTTAATCTGCAAATCATAGAAAAAGCTTAGGCATTTTTAAATTTTTTTTATTTCCTGATGTGGTAGAGCAACTGCAACTGCATTTGCAGTAACAAGTACTGTAGCCTTGGTCTCATGTTCATATTGTTATCTATAACTATATTATTGTTATTAATTCTTCCAAGGTCAAACATGTGTGACCTTTGTTCGATATAACAAGAGTCTCAGTTCTCTCTAGTGTAGCAGCAGCATACAGTTAGCCACAAAACTCAGGCTATAGAAAAAAGATGGTTTCGTATAAAATTAAACTCTTTTGAAACCAACATCGTTTTCACTATCAAAACCAACGAGGTTCTATCCGGTATCACATGGCGCAGTCAGCAGAATCAGGATTTTTGTCTCAAGACAATGGGACAGACATGGGAATTCCGGTATTCTGGGTTTTGGCAAACTCGGATCCACCATGGAATTTTGAAACTTGGTTTGATCAATTCCTATTAGCTGTTACTGTCAAGGAGAACGTGGATTCAGAAGTATTATTAGAAGATCCAAGAGCAGTACTGGAAGAACCACTACCACATCCGGAAACGCCAGGAAACAACGAGGATGCGCAGTCAGTAACAGAGAGAGAAGCTCGTGACAGATTAGCACGAGATAGAGTCCTATTAGAGAATGAAGAACGTGTTATACGAGGACCTAAAGTGGGACTCAACGTATTCTGCCACGAAGTTGGAAAACGTTTAACATCCCGACTATTTCTAGGTTTGGGTTCAGAAGGCAAGAAAAATTTATACAAAAGAATCCGCACACGGAAATATTTAAGCTCGGATTTCGAGATATAGTGAGATTGGCAAAAATCTCCTTTGAAAAGACAAAATGCATCACTTACGAGCGATAAAATTTGTTTACAAGATCACATGAAACGATTGAAACCCTCGAATTCTTTCCTCCAGCATTAACTGCACAAACCGCAAAAGTGGAGCTGGGAGGACTGGAAGAAGAACTAGTTAGAGATTTGTTTATATCCCGGATGCTAACTTTTGAAACATTCACACCAGAAGAAACACAAAAGCGAGCAATAAAATTCGAACAAAGCAAGCAAACTACGCAAGCATTTCAAAGGTCCTCAAGAATTACAACTAATAAGGGACTATTCTCGAACGCGCAAACTAAAACAAAACAAGAACCAGTCATGGCAATTGGAAACAAGGGATATAACCCTAGACGTCAAGGTCGAGATCAGAACAAAAGGAAAAATTACGAGAACCGAAATACTACAAGATCCAAGGGAGATCAGAAATAATGCACGAGATGTGAAAGAAGTTTTGGAGAAGGACACTTGAAGAGTTGTCCAGCAATAGTTAAAACGTTAAAAGAATTGTAACAAACCAAATCACTTTGCGAAAATGTGCAGATCACAGCAAGTAAACGAGATTGTAAACGAAAATTCTAGTTCACAAGAAAAGTGTAACCTAACACAAAATTTTGATTCCTGTGAAGAGTTCGAAATAATGTCGGTTGAAGATGATATAAAATCAATTGTAGCAATCGAGCAATACATAAACAACCGAGTATTAACGAATGATCAAACAGGAGGAAGCGGTGGTTAACAAAGGCCAAATGAAAAATCAGAGAAAGTCGAAAAGATTGAGGTACGCCGGAATCCACAATCTCACCAAATAAAAGCATTGAAGGCCTTGGTGAAAATTGATAATCATATTGCGAATATGACTATAGACACGGGTGTTCCAGTGTCATTTTCGAATTGGACATCAACAAAACAAATTTTGGAAGGATCTCGGAATTCGAAATTTTTTCTTGCGGAAAAACTTAACCTGTCTGCACAGTTTGTAGACTAAAAAAACGTCCAATTCTGATACTAGGAGCACTGAAAGCGAATCTCCGTTCAGCTGGATGGGAAGTGCACAGAGCACCGCTGTTAGTCACAGAACGACGTATGCGATGAATTCTGGGACTGGATCTTCAAGGAAAACTGAGGATCCATACTACTCAGAAATCTGCACCATCACGAAAATCCAGGTTTGACGTGCTACTGTGCGAGCAGTCAGAAGGGTGGAAACAAAAGTTTTATGATCAATTCAAAAGTCTTTTTGATCACCAGGGGAGTCGAAAAATCATACTGTGAGCACAAAATTTAAATATCCTTTAGGCCCGATACAAGAAATAGGTAGGCAAATACCTATACATATTCAGGATAAAGTGCAAACAGAACTAAAAAAAACTGTTATCGGATGGACATATCAAAAAATTGGATAAATGTACAAGCGACTGTTTCATTACTCCAATTGTTATCACAGTTAAAAAAGATGATTCCATTAAATTGGCCCTGGACGCGAAACCTATCGATAGGCAATTGTACAAAAACAAACATCAGATGCCAAACGTTGATGAACTGATAGATGGTGTTAGCCAAGTAATAACTGCAAAAGCAGCAGGTACGCTGTTTTTCACAGTGCTGGATCTAAAGTAGGCCTACAGTGAAACAATGCAACAGATCATAAAGCTTTAACATCCGCGTTGGGGGAACATAGATCGAACAAAGCCTATCAATCTCGACTCACTAGGTGGGTGGATAGATTATTACCTTATCAGTTTAAGGTTATTCATATCACTGGCAAAAATTTGGGCATTGTTGGTTACCTTTCGAGGGAACCAAATGGTGACCCATGGCCTGAATCTGAAATAGATGAAAGATTTGTTGTAACATCAATTGAGAATTTTCATAATGCGCTCGACTGTTTGGATGATACAGACTGAAAGATTAATGTAAATATTCTAGAACATTCTGGAATAAGAAACAATATTAGCCACTGTAAGGACAACTCATCACATGGTTGCTATAGCAACCAGTTTGTTCAAAACCGGACAAAACTCGACCGGAACGAAAACGGTCAAAGCTCGCGTTTTCAAAAAGAACAAAACGAGCAGAACACACTAAACGAAACTTCTCGTACTAAACAGTCGGTCATAAATTCAGATATCAAAAGTTGCAATATTTCAATAATTCAGCCGGAAAAAAACAGTGAAGATGGCAAAAAATCAGTCGGGGCCAGGAAAATTGAAGAAAGCGGTGAAAATCACGAATAGACAAAACGAAGAAAGGGAAGAACTGACAGAGCAGGTGACAGAAACAACATTTTCAAGGACCAGAATGGTGACGAGAGGAGCGTGCAGTAGACAGGACTCGGACAGTTCGGATCCAGACATACCACAGATTGAGTGGCGAACGGTGGATAGGTACATCAAACCTAGTAGAGAGTCAGAAACATCATCTGCCAGTCCATTAGCTGCTATGACAAAGTTAATTTCTTTTTGGGACCTAATGGGCGCAGAAAGAAAGGATAACCCGAGAAATATGCTAGAGCTAGAAGCACAAACAGAAATGCAAAGCCGAGCACAGCACGACCAAGAAATTGACATAAACTCTAAAGGATATAAATCGGCGATAGTTGAAGTGGTCTTAACTGTGGAAAGCCCGTCGGACAGCCCAGAAGTTAGTTTGATCGGGGAGAAAAGGGCCAATCACAACTCTAGGAAGGACGAATTTCGCCAAGCGGAGCTTATCAAGGGAGAAAGCCTGGACAACCTCACAAAACTATTCGATAGAAGTCTTCTAGCGGAGTTAATCACTGAGGACTCTTGGATGGACAGGCCTCAACGAGTGATAAAGAGAAATGATCGTCATAGTTTTGAATTCAAGGGACCTTTTACAAATCCTCTCTGGCACCAACTGTCCGTGGTGGATGACTGCATACTAGTGGAAGCAGTGGAAGCTAGAGCAGTTTTGAAGAGAGTTCACCGTAGTCACCCGGGTCAGGAAGCGATGCTGGATGTTTCGAGATACCTGTGGTGGCCACACATGCACAAAGATATCGTCAATCTGGCTGAGGATTGTAGAAGTTGCACTCGCTGCGGTAAGAATGCTAAGTACATCATACCAAAAAACGCTAGCAAACCTCTTCCGCTGCTAACGCAGCCGAGTCACGAAGTACAACTGGACTATGCAGGCCCCCTGGAAGATCATAAAGGAAAAAAGATATACTTACTGGTAGCAATAGATAGGTATTTGAAATTTCCTTCGGTAAAGATAACAAAATCAACAGGAGGAAAATCGTTTACAAAATTTCTTCGTTCTTACATCGACACCCACGGAATACACGAATCAATAAGAACCGACCAATTTTCTGGGTTTAAGCGTAAAACAATGCGAAAATATTGTTCAGAAAACAACATAGAACAAAAATTCTGTCCGGTAGGGGATCATCGTGGTTGCGGATTGGTTGAACGTACGATTCAAACCATCAAGGGAAGATTAGGGGTTATGTTACTGGACGAAAATGTGACATCAATAAAACTTTGTCTTAGTACCATTATTCGAGATCTCAGATGGAGCAAACCAAAAAACAATACAACGTTCGCCGTTCGAAGCTCACTTTGGTCGACTACCAAAAACTGAATTTAAAATTCTAAGTAATAATTTTTTACAAGATTCTGATCGTTTAGATAAAGAACACCTGGAGCGATCTGCGCTTACTGACTCGCAACTCAATCGGCGAATTGACCAATCAAGAGAAGGATTGAAAATTGTCCGTAAGGGTCAAAACAGCCGAGATGTAAGTCCTCTCTTCAAACAACAAATGGATTCAGCAAAAGATCGAGCTAGAGCATGGGTATTAAAAGAACTGCTAGAGGCAAACGCCAGATGGAACCAGACAAGAAGGGACACATCTGACAGTGATATCAGGCGCATTGTGGATGAAACAAGCACCATAAACCGGAGTTACGCAAAGAATTGCTATATTCTTGGGAGCGCGGGTTCATTGAAGACAAGCGAGAGGACAGTGTCAGTCAGAATCAATGGTCTCCCATACTACTACAAAAGGACGAAGGGAGACGCAGCGGTAAGGCTCTAACAAACCGCTTAATGGGGAAAGTCACCTCAGAAACACCTTTTACTGTCAAAACAGCTGCTGGGGCAATCTACCGAAAAAGCGACATTGCCAAAGGACAATGTACTGGACGCAGCGGCCCATTGTCGGTCTCCGACAGGGGAAGAACCCAAAAAGAAGCTACAAAAAAAATCGAAGACCGAAATAAATCGAGGAAGAAAGATGAATTACTACCACAGCAACAAAAACCGGACCCGGAGGAAGCAAAAAATAAGTTCCAAGGAAATCAGACAGTGGTCACGTCTGAGGACACAGAAGCAGGCGATGGTCTGAATCTCGCGGTGAAAAGGGGCAAACCTAACAATTCGGGACCGTTAACTAAGCCAACTAAATTAAAATGGAGTGGGGAAAAGAAAGATAAGAAGCAATCAATTCAGGAGACCTCTCGGAAAAAATGCGGACGAAGCCGAAGAAAATCAACAAGCTCTAGCGTGCTCATCAAGCTCAGCAGTGGTTCCACCATCGACATCGACGCCTCAGAAAAATACAGCCATAAAACCAAAAAAGATCTCACGTCACACGTCGCCTGAAACAATTCTGGATACGTTTAATAGCAAAGACCTAACACCAGCGGATTGGAACAGAATGGCAGATCAAGTGCTAGAAAGGGGAGTGCAGCGAGCGGCGGAGGATATACTAACATTCACAGACGCTACGGTGGACGAAGATGATTATATTAACCCGCCCGGAATTTCCGACGAGTCAGGAGAGGGAGAAACCTCTGTGCGTCGGAGTGGGAGATCAAAAAAAGGTCCTAGTAGATACGGCGACCCGATCAAACATTCGGTAAAACTGATTTCTTCACAAAACGATATTATGGATCTAAATAAGGCCGCATTAGAAGCATATCGCATCAAATTGGCAAAATTTAAACCCGACACGAAAAATTCGATCGAATCAAAATTTGGCCTCCTGGAAAAGCATCTATTCAAAAGAAAATTTGGAAGCCAGGCTTTGGATATCAATCGGTCCTGGAACGCAACCGGGAATGTGGTACAGTAGCTGCAACTGCATTTGCAGTAACAAGTACTGTAGCCTTGGTCTCATGTTCATATTGTTATCTATAACTATATTATTGTTATTATTTCTTCCAAGGTCAAACATATGTGACCTTTGTTCGATATAACAGGAGACTCAGTTCTCTCTACTGTAACAGCAGCATACAGTTAGCCCCAAAACTCAGGCTATAGAAAAAAAAATGGTTTCGATTTTAAATTAAACTCTTTCGAAACCAACATCGTTTTCACTATCAAAACCAACGAGGTTCTATCCGGTATCACACCTGAAGAACGATTTTTTTCATTTTTTTTATTTTGTGATTCTTTTCTCAAAAAAAAGTTTTCGATTTAGTCTGATTTATTAAAATTCTAATGATTTTATAGTTCTGTCTCTCTTATTACCGACAACAAGCAACAAAAATTTCAAACCTGTGGCGCGCCTCATTTATGAAAGTGATTGGATCATTTTATGCAACTTGCACAGCAACTGGCTACCCTTGTTTTCAACTTTTTGAGGCTTTTATCATAGTGATAGTTGTTGGGCGTTCATATCGAACGCTTCATATTGTGTAATCAAGCCTCAGCCTGGCAATGGTAGTGTCTGTTGTCAAGCTCTCACTTGAAATCAAATTGAAAATCCGTTTTCCAAAAAAAAATCCCGAACGTTTCATGGTTTTTAAATTTTTCAGCAAACCATTGATAACCTTAGTTTTATATTTTTGTTTTTATTTCGGATATATTTTTGTCGTAAATTGTTTTATAAGACATAACTGTGTAATTTTTGATTTTTTAACGAACTCCAGAACATTGACGCTCTTTTTTTTGTTCTTTCGTTTTCTTTGATTGTTCCGACGAAATTTTAACTTGCTTCAATACTTGTCTCTGGATTCCAGAACCTTACACACACCAAACCCAGTGCACTATTTGGCCTCGTTTTGCATTCAAAAATATGATCAGAGAGCCAGCTTCGACCAATTTTAAATAAAAACAAGACTGCTCGTATATCAGCGCAAAGCCCTGAATGTTGCGACTGTCCCCTAATTTAAATCGAATAGTTTTTGGGAAAAAAATATTTAAAACCTGTAAGTTTTAGACAAAAGCAAAGCGTAAAAGTTTGATTCATACGAAATTACTACGACCAATTACTTCAATTTTAAAGTTAATTTAGCGCTAATTTAGCTTCCCGGGTTGACCTCCATTGACCGAAAATGCTAATCATACATTTTCATACACTTAGTCTATGGAAAAATGCTAGTCACACAAATTTTATACATTTTTGCAAAATAACTTTAATCGAATTTCAAAGGTATTTTATAGTTGTTTTGGAATCGAAATTGGTATCTATTCATAAAAAAAGGGAAAAAATGGAAAAAAATGCTAATCATACAATTTCCATATATGGAAATTGTATGATTAGCATTTAAAAAAAAATTGCGAAAAAAAGCTTTGAACAATCAATTCAACTGCTGGCAAAACATTTAAGCGTTTTTTGGGCTGCTACAACTGAAAACTTTGGCTTTTTTCTTACTTTTGTTTTCTGAAAATAAAACACTAGTCATACAATTTCCATATATGGAAATTGTATGACTAACATTTTTTGATGGCGGCGACAAAATTTTTTTCAAAGTATTTTTGAAATTACCCCAAAAAATTTTTTTTGTGTTTTTTTTTCAATCGCAAACTGATTTTCGTATTCAAACAAACAATTTTTGAAAAAAAAATTTTTTCATGCAAAATTTAATTTTTTGTGTGTATAACGTAGTCCTGGATATACTAATATTGGATTTTTTTTCCTTTTCTCTTCATAACTTTTTTCAAAAACGCTCAAAACTCCTCTTTCTTTTGAATGACATGTTTTTTATGCCTTGATCAATGTCTGGTAATTTAAAAATTCAAATTTTAGAAATAATCTTCTTTGAAAATTACTGCCAAAATTTAAAAGTTCATTACTTTCGTTATATTACTTGTGTGAGACATAATGACAAATATCAGGCTGTTTCCAATGCATTTTTAATGCGAGACGGCCAAACCTTTGGTTACTACGTTTGAGTAATCAAGGTGTATGTCATTTGTGTTCGGTTACGAACACAACCAAAAAATTTTGAGAAATAAAAATGTAAAAAATCAAAATTTTTGGTTTATGCAAAAATGCTAGTCATACAATTTCCATATATGAAAAAATACTAATCATAGACCTTTCATGCAATTTTCTCTACGTATGGAATTGTATGGAAAGTGTATCACTAGCATTTTTCCATATATGGAAATTGTATGACTAGTATTTTTGGTCATCCCGCGTTATTTATTGCGAGGTGAACCGCGTTGTCTCAAATGAAACATTTTTGGTTTAGGTGGGGAAGATGATCATGACCAGGACCAGGTGGCTGGCGTGACTGATATTGACGACTTGGTAGTTCGCAGTTGCAGCGTGGACAACCTCCTCTCCCCTGCACCCGACATCCCCCCTGTGGTCAAACAGGCTCTGGCCGATGAACTGAAGAATGTCTTCGGGGCTAATGGGAGGAAAGAGAGGGTATGACAAGGAAACTTTTTTGTTTCAAAATTAAAAAATTAAGACAATTTGCATCAAAAACCACATGATCCAATGGGATTAAAACTGAATATAAATCAGATCTGAATGTTAATTTCCGGACCACTCTATAACAAAAACTTTTGCAATTTTTTGGATCCATAGTATTTAGATAATTTATTTTTTTTCGGCCAGAATGATAGCCATTAGGCTAGTTGGCGCGTTCTCAAGCGTTTTTGGTTATTCTAATTGTTATTCTAAAAACTATCATTCCGCGCTAAAAATTAGAGATAATTAGTATAACGATTTTTTATTTAAATTTTTGTATGAATAGTTAGATGTCTTACATATATACAGATATCTGTTAGCTACATATCTGTAAACATGATAACGGCTCGCCAAAACTTTTGTTGTTTGCAAATTTTAGTTTTTATTAGCTAATGTGTGTTGAATTTTGTTTTGACTTCTTTGGTTGCAGGTTGAGAAAGCAAGTGAGTATCACAAAGACCGCCCGCCTCTAAAAAATTCGATGCGGGGTCTGAGATACTACGATCCCTCCTACACAGAATACTCCGACCGACCGGATGGAGGGGAGACCTCGTCTTCTTCCTCGAGACGAGGAAGCGACCGGTGAGGAAATTATAATCAATGTTTATCTCGTTTCGCTTGAGCGGTTAACGTATTCTGTTTTTTTTTTCTAGAAATAGTTTATTTCTAATATTAGGTGAGAAATAAATAGTGTCTGTCTAGAATACAGAAATATAGGCAAGATAGTATTTACTTAAAATTTCTTTCTGTTTGGAAGCCTTTGCTGGGTACAGGAATACACATGATAGTTTACTGCTTACAAATAAATAGCAAATGAAGTTGTGTGATGTATCATTTTGGCGCTAATTCAGCCGTGAATTGATCAAAAATTTCGAAAAATGCTTTTTAATGTCGAGAAAAACTGGCATGATTCTTTTGGCTATCCAGGCCATTCTAGAGCATTATTTGGCAGTTTCCGACATTAATTTTGAATTGTTAAAAATAGTATCTAAATAAAAGGAAACGGCTTAGATCCAATTTTAGGTTTATAAAATTCATCATTAAAACATATAAAATCAGTATTGTTTGATATGAAATCAATACTAATAAATGTATAGTGCCATCGGGTGGCGAGAAAAGCGACCGATGAAGTGGACGTGTGAGGATGTCTGTGATTGGATGGCCCACGAGGGATACAACAGACCGGTGACGTCACTCTTCCGAAGGGCACAGGTGGACGGACGGGATCTCAGCACTATAAGTAAGAAGACATACCGCTCGATAGGCAGTTAACTGGCCTTTTTTGTGTTACTCCAAGATAGGTTTTTTAAAATTGTTGTTCCGACTTTCGTAACGAATGTAACGGAATATTTGCGCTCTGGGTGGGTTTTTTTCTTCAGAAAAAATTCGAATTTTTAACTAACCATTTTTGACCGATTTTTTTTTATCATTCAAATTTGTTGTCCTGATCTTTAATTTAAAAAGATATTTCACCTGTGATCATTTTTTCTAAAATTATGGGTGTTTAAAGATTGCCATTTTGGCCAGTTTGGGACAATTAACAATAAACGCCCGATATATTTTGCGCTATGATCGCGTAGGCGGAGATTTTCTGCTCCCTAGACCTTAAAAGGCAGTCGGAACATTCAGGGCTTCGCCTTGATACCAGCAGTGTGGTTTTTGTTCCGAATTTCGAAGAAAACGGAAAATTTATGCTTGGGATGTTTTTTTATTCAGACAATTTTTGACGATCGAAGTAAACGTTTTTTTTTTAAATTAACCACATTGAAGATATCAGCTCCCTGAATCAAAAATTAAAAAATATATATTTTTGGTCTCGGATCGTTTTTGGAATTATTTTGGGACTTTGAAAATAGCCAATTCGGCCAAACTCTGGGCTAATTTATGTGCGCTTCCAAGGTTTTAAATCATAATGCGGAAAGCGTAACGCGAAATATTTATGCGTGGCAAATTATCCCGCGCAACAGAATCGATCCAAATTTAATTGAGGCTAGCTAATAGGTCCTAATAATTTTGTGCGACTCAAACTTTTACACTTGATCTTTGATTTTGTCCATAATTTATATTTTTTTCAGTATGTTTTCCCCAAAAACTATTCGATATGGACTAAGGGGCATCGGAAAATTCAGGGCTTTGCCCTGATATACGAGGAGTCTTGTTATGACTATTGTAATTTTACCTTATAAAGTTCATAATAAATCCGTTTTTTAATAAATTATTATAAATTAAAAACAAGACTGCTCGTATTAAATCTCCGCTTACGCGTTAATAGCAAAAATATATCGCGCGTTAATTGTTCTTAATTTGGCCAAATGGCAATCTTTAAACCCCCATAACTTTACAAAAAATGATCACATGTGAAATGTTTTTTCAAACTTAAGCTCAGGACAACGATACCTTTCGAATAATACAAAAAAATTCCCATCAAAATTGGCTAGTTAAAAAGTCGAAATTTGCCTGAAGAAAAAAAACCCACCCGAGCACAAATATTCGGTTAATTTTGTAACAAAAGTCGGAACAACACATTTCTTGAGTCAAGTTAACATCCTATTTTGCATTTACACCAACATAAGTCTTTCTTGCTCATCAAGTTATTTGAATTGAATTCTCTAAGCGCTGCGCGTGAAATGCTTGATACTGATTGACTGAAAGTTCCAACTTAGAACCAAGTTAAGACATTGTCCCCTAAACTACTTTCAGGGTATTTTAACCTGGTTAGATCAACACCACAGTACTAAATATAAGCAAAAATAGAACAAATCATCACTCTTTTACTTTTAAAGTGAGGTTCATTCCTTTCATCTTTTTCGAATATTTGAAATTTGCGGTAATTACTTCACAAGAGGTTATGCTGATTTATCGACAAGGGAAAGGACCAACAAAGAAGTTGTTGAGCTCTTGACGGGTGGATCTTGGTGGGCCTCAAACATCCGACCTTTCGGTTGAGAGGTGGAGACTTAAAAACTTTGACACCGCTCCCAAAAACAGCAGTTTGTACATCAAAAGATCGCTTGCGGTGCTGAATCGTTGTCAAAATTGGGTCCTTACAGGTTTCCGGGAATTACCGTGAATTTAATTGGATCAATCTAACGAAAGGTCTAGAAATTTTTAAATTTTTGTGAAAATACACCACCTCCGAGAAAATCCCATTTGATGGCATTGCCATTTGATCCAAATTTTAGGATAAAAAAGTTAAATTTTTGGTCAAATTCTTCCAAAATAGCTTGTTGATAGCAAAAAAAGCGCAAGCAGGGTTACCTGCAATAACATATAACTGTATTCGTGCCCTTTTAACGACATTTCTATATAAATACTCTGAAACAGTTGTGTTAAAAAAATTTGTTTCTGATTTTGGTTCGAAGTTTTACCTTTTTTACCTTTTTTCAGCGGCTGCGGAAATAACTCGGCTTGGCGTCACAAACCCGACGAAAGCAGACGAAATCAACAAATCAGTTGACCAATTATTCGCCAGTAACCACCCTCAACCAAATTCAAAACCGCGATCAAAAAATTCCAGAAAAATTTCCAAGAATCGCCTTTACTCTTCAAAAAATGACGAACCCGGGCGAGCTGTGAAAACTTCGTTCAAAAGCAGTCGGGCAAATTTGAAAAGTCTGAAGTCAAACGCCTCTAAGTCTAAAATTCCTTCTTTTTCCCGACCCGGGATTGGTTTGCAGAGACGGGCTTCGAACTTGATGGCTGAGAAAACAGGAATGAACAAAACTTCTAACAGGTCAGAAATAACAAAGAAAAAAGTCTATGGTTGATAAATTAGGTAGCCTCAAAAAACTCATTTTTTTCGGTTTATTCTTAACTAAAGGAAGTTATTTTTTTGTCAAATAGTTTCTTAGTTAACATGTACTGGCCTAAAAATTTCACTAAGAAAAAAATCAAAGATTTTTGAACAAGAAAAGAAAAAAATCCTTTTTCAGAGTTGAAAGGAACGAATATGAAAAAGAAGATCCAATACTAACTCAAAGCGCTTCAACAGTTGCTCAAAAAGCACAATGGTTTAACGACGCCACACATAACAACATGCAAACACAGCCATTGAAGACTGCAACCCGACAACATAACTCGCCTCAGTTGACGTCGGGCGTGAGCCGAGTGCAGTCGCTACGACACGACTTAGAAGTCCAAGAACGACATCGGAAATTAGAGGATATTTTCAACAGGAAGCGGAAAGAGGAAAGCATGCGAAAGGCTGGAAATTCAAAAGACATTGTTGATGGAGGTCACTACTTTTAGCTTTAATTCCATATTTTAATCAATTTTCCATAAACTTTAAAGTCCTATATATGGTAACAACTACAATTTTTGACCAAAGAACATCAAAAATATTGTATTGTACTTCTTCAAAAGTTATTCATAAATAACAAAAAACCAAAATTCTTAAAATAAAAGATTTTTGCTTCTTGCGCTTACTCTTGACTATGACTTTGAATCTCGATTCTGATCAAAAACAAAACAAAAAATTTTCAAAGATTGTTTAGGCAAAAGTTCAACTCCAGACGACAATCTTTCTTGCGCGGTTAAACTGAGAGAAATCACAGTCCGATGTGAAGCACTGTTGGAAAACCCTGACTCGGGTGGGGGCAAGCCGGAGTTCGACTGGATTAGCTACGAGATACCAGAAATTGCGGCGCCTAGAGATCTGCTGAGAGAACATCTAAAGGTGTTGTTTTGGAAAAAAGGAAGAAAACAAATATTTGTCGAAATCAACATCTCCATTTATTAATTAGACATGCTATTTGACTCAGATAGTTGCAAAAAAAATGAGACTAGGAAAACAAATGAAAAAAAATTCGAAAGAAAAACTAAAACAGAGCCAAAAGGTTGCTAAATTTTGCAGCATATTTTAAGAAATTGGCAGATTTTTTTTCCGTTTTTCATTCTTTTCAAATGGTTTTTATTAGGAGCGAGAATCAAAACTAACATTTGAAAGAATTTTCGTATGTTTTCAGTGCATTGGGCTTAATGATACAGAGGAGCCCCTGGTAGTTCTTGAGACACGTGAGTGTGTGGATGAAAAGAAGAGACACTCCTGTTCATTCAGACGAATGCTCCACTCGGCCGAAAGCATATTCAACACACACATGTCATGGTCACTGAGGTAACTTGTCACCAACTTAACTGTTCACAAATTTTGTTTTCTTTTACTGAGAAACTCTTATTGGAGATTTTTAAAGTTCCTAATTTTTATTATAAACACCTCATCGCGTGATATTATCAACTTTTCATTTGGTGCCAAAACAGTGCACTGGATAGGCGCACGCACAATTTTGTGTCTGTATGTTCCTGGATTCCAGTGACAAACCATTAAAAATGTTCCGAAATGTAAGTGGATTCATTTACAAAATTACCGTGGATTTCGCGTGCAAATACTTGTAACGTAACTTTTGCTGGCACTTTTTTTTTGCGGATTCCGCAACAAGAGAATTTGGCTATTAGTTCTCGATTCCACAACTGCAAGGTGATTCCGCAAAAAAAAAGATGCAATCCGCAATTTCGTTTATTATTGAACTTGCATACTAACAATTAAAAGCTAGAAATCGAATTATTATCTATAGCAATGCACAGTTCAAATGCAAGGAATTAACCAACGTCAGCGGAATCCACGAACAAATCTTAAAATATTGGTTAGATATTTATGCTGGGTGAAATAAGCTTTGATCTGTTATGATTTCGGAATTGAAAAAAAAAATAAGAGTAGGCTGAATTAAAACGAACTTATCTTAATTGAATTGGATTAGTTCAATTTAGTTTGCTCAGTTGGAATTGATGTTGGGTGCACGTTGGCAGGAATTAAGATCGACGTTGAGTGTAAGTTGGCAGGAACTGAGATCAAAATTGGGTGTTTGAGAGGAACTCAGATCGAAGTTGGGTGTCTGACAGGAGAAGAAATCGAAGTTGGGTGTATGTTGGCAGAAATTGAGATCGAACTTTTGGTAATTCAGCTGGTAGTTAATCAACTTAGCAGTAGTTGAGATTGAATTTTGTAGTGACCAACTGGTAAATGATAGACTTAATTTAAAATGCTACAACATATGTAACTGGAATGAGCAAACAAAATGCGGATTTCACCTACAATTTGCGGATTTTGCTTACAGTTTCCTGATTTCGCTTAAAGCTGAGGGTTCCGCAACGGCTCAATTTTAATCTACGCATGCCCTATTAATTGTTCAGGGATTCCACAAACTGCTCAAATTTCTACAAACGCTGCTGCGGATTCCACAAATTTGCATAGTTTTGGGGCAATTTTGAGCGGTACAGTGTTCTGGGTGTTTGTTCAGCAAAGAAGATCGAAGAAAAGTAGCAATGTTGCGGATTCCGCAACAAATCTGATTTTGACCCGTTGCGGAATCCGCTTGCAATTCACAAAATAGACAGCTTGAACTCTTAACAATTTTTACATCTGTTTTCTTCAAAATTTATGTTTTTTTTCTGTCAAAGATATATTTTCTAAAAATTGTGGGTTTTTCAGCTGAAATTTCCCGAAAAAACCTTAGTTATCGAAAATGCAAGAAGTTCCTTGGCGGATAATTAGAGAAATCAATCTTCGGCTGAGCATTTCTAATAGCCGAGCCAATACTATCTGAGTTTAAGGGATGAGCGCATCCCAAAAAATAATAATTTCTATGAAAAATGGTTCAAAGTATCTTTTTTACGGCCTGTTTTTTTAAATTATCACTGGGCTCGGGTTTTAGACAACGTCACTTCTTCGAAATCATGCGTGAGTCCCACTTGGCCGAAGCTCTCAGTGACGGGAAGGGTCTGGACAGTTGTGGCAGGTGTCCAGGGCTGGAGAGGGTGTCCCAGATGATGTACAAGGAGGCCAATGATGCTCTGGATGTGTACGCGGAGTTGCTGGTGGTGTTGCAAAGGATCAAACAAGCCAGTCATGTAGGAAACTAGTTCTGGCTAAACTTGAGTGAATTTAGATTGATCTCAAATAGAGTTAAAAATCAAAAATGCTGTATGATTGCTGTATGTTTATTGAATTTGGTATACTTTATATACATTGGATGCTAACTTAGGCAAACATTATTGAGTAAGTACCTCAATTACATCAAGTTCAAAATTAGAACGTCAGAAATGGTTAATCTTTTTTTTCATATCACGATTTTCAGTTTTCTTTTTCGTCCGAGGCTTTTTTGAACTGTATGCTACTAAGTTGTGATCCCTACTGAAGCCTTGATTTTTAGAGGGAGTGAAGGATGTCAACCTGGTTCTAAGTTGGTTCTTTCAGCCAATCAGAAGACTTTCAGACAGAGCCCTAAATAATTTTAATCCAAACTAATCTTAACTCAAGTGAGGTTTCTAACTTCGTTTGCTTATGTGAAGTACGTTTAATTGATCCCTTTTCTGTTTTTAGGTAGCGCAACATAGCAACCCATTTGAGTTAGAAAGTGTTCTGAAGGAACAACTACATAACGTGATCAGTAACAGCGAAGCTCTCAAGGACAAAAGGTCACAGCTGAGCTCCAAACTGTTCAGCGCCTCTCAGAAAAAACGAAGCCAGAACGCAAAAGTATCCAGCATTGTTAAATCAGAAGATCACCACGATGAATTGGAACGATTGCTGGAAATTGGTAAAAAATTTTATAAATGTCTTTTCGTTTCGGATTTTAAAAAAAATGTCCAAAACTTTTTCCACTTTGTTTTAAGTCAACCAAATTGTTTTTCTGAGCTCTCTCAAACTGCTATAAAAACCTATTGTAACAAAAACAGATAGGCTTAAAAAGATGCCATAAAATAGTAACAAAAGGAGAACCCTTTGGGTGGGAGATGGGTCGAATTCTTGAGGAAGGAGAGTGTCATCCCCCGCACTCCATTAAATAAATCCATAAATCGACTGGTGCATTTTTGAGAAAGCAGACCGGTCATAAGAAATCAGAGGATTGTTTTAGAATGGAAAAATGACACCAGGTTAGAACTTAAGAATCGGGATCTCTTTAACTATTCCCCCCTTTTCAAAAGGGGGGTGGAGATTCTTTATAAGGTACAAAATTCTCATATGCTTACCCGTTGATATTTTTATGGGGAGCGGTGGGCGATTGGTGATCAGTTACTCTAGGGATGGAGGGTAATTGTTAATTGTTAAAGAGATCAAGAATCGTTTTAGGCTCTATGAAACTACAAGGCTTTTATTGTTTGTTTCAGGTCCATCACTTCTGAACATGACCTTAAACACAGCGATCAAGCTGTATGAAAACGAGGAAAAGTTCCTCATGTCTGAGATGAGGGAAATTTCCAAGAAACAGGAAGTTACGTCATCGGCACCGTCCTTATCGGAAATTACATCATCACTCTACTCTTCACTAAGCGTTTCCGGTCATGCAACTGTCGTGTCAGCTGAACTAACGCCGAATAAGCCGAACGTTAAGTTAGACGACAGTGACCCAGAGAAGAATTTTTATAATTTCAAATTAGCTTCTCTGAGAAACGGAGGCGTTATTATTGTCAGTCAAGAGACCGATTCTGTGTTACAAGAGGGCGACAGGTTAATTGAGATCAATGGACAAGTTGTGGTGATGAGTAATAGTGACCACGTGAATGGCATTCTGCAAAGAACGCCGTCGGCTAGAGTTGTAGTGATGCGGACGGAAACCAGAGACAAGGTAGTAAAAAAACTTGAAACGTTTAAAAAAAAACTGCTATTGAAGTCATTATAACAAATTATGTGTCAATGAACGAAGTGGGTTTCACTTTTTTTGTCCTGCAATTTTTTTTCGATAAAAAATTATTAAATGTTATCTTTGCTCAAAATCATATTTTAATGGCTTGACTTTTGATGCCTTTTAAAACTTGGTTGAAATTAACTTGCTGAGGGGAATGCAATTTACGATTCCAACAAAAAATGCAATTGGCTAAAAAACGCAATTGAGTCATTTTTTTTGGTAAAAAAAGCGGTTTGTTTTAGATTCCTCGGAATCAGTGGTATTTTCGAACTGCCTGTTAGCCTTTTTTAAGAAGAAAAACTAACTCGTCGAAAGAGGAAAGCATAAGTTTTGTGTTTGCGTGATTTTTTTGAATTAAATCAAACCTCAAAGAAACAAAAGCCGGTTACTCTTCATAACAAAAATGTGTTAAAATCGAATGGTACAATTTAGTGTCAAATTTGAGTGGATTCTAGGTACACACTGAAGTTATAATGCGATGTCAACGGGGAACGCATCAACATTGCTACATGGGGTTCAATAACAAATTCATATGCTATGTAGGGCAAAAGATTAATTTTTTTGCTCTGAGACGCCTGAAAAGAGGCTTAATTTAGTCTTACGGTGCTCTCTCTCTAGTGATGTTTTCGTTAAAAAAATCTTCATTTGATTTGTAATTCTGTACGTGTGTTGACATCACTTGAAAACAATTTTGTTATGATTACAAATCAGGAAAGCTAAATCTCAAGAAAGCAGATGGTTTCCACATCCCAATAATTTGCAAAAGGTAATGCAGTTTGCAAACTAAACAGAACAAAAGCGTTGTTATGTTTTTTTTTCTGTTTTCAAGTCAGCCCAAGTTTTTTGTCTGTGTGAACAAATCCTAATCAGATCCTTGGCTTTCAAATTTAGAAAACTGCCAAAAACGGACATAAAAGACAAAAAACAAAAAATAATTGAACAAAAGTCTTTTTTTGTCAGTTTTTGAAAATGTTTTTTGTTTTAATTTGTTAGCAGAAACTTAATATTTAGAAGAAGCAAGTGCAGAAATATAATAAAATGCATTGGGGTCTCAATTCAAAATTCGTGCTTCAACCAAAAAAATTAATAATGGGACTCAAAACGTTACATCATTCGGTTTAAGTTTTCTCTGTAATACTTAAGCTCAGAACAATGTCACATTTAATCAAAACCAAGAAATGAGCTAAGCAGCAAGGTTTTCAATTTCCATTTTTGACGTTAGAAGGAATTTTGCATATTTTTGTTGCAGTTCGATTGACGACTAAATTGGTTTAGGACTCCGAGCTTTCCTAAAACACCGTAAAAATTTTGCTTTTCTAAATGTTTCGAGATCTTTTTGGAAGGTTTTGACCAAAAAATTGCCTTTTTTGGCGCGCGGTCTTCGCTCAATTTTAGTGTATATGGCTCCTAACGTACCTGAAGAAAAATTAGCGTTGGTCAATCAAAAAAATGTTGTCGCTAAAAAGTATGAGCCGGACCCCTGAAGAAAAAACGTCTGCAATATCCCAAGCCCACCCACCACATCCTCCTAAATTTCTTTCACCGGGCAGAGGTGGACTTGTCTTGAGACCATTACACTCGACATGGTTATATTGCAATGACATGCCTTCAGTAAACCGATATATCTGTAATTTATCAGATCAGTAAATTAAATTAAGTAATAATTATTTAAATAGCTTTTTCAAAGACTTCTTACGCTTGCGATTAGCAAGCGTTATCAAAGCGGATTGTGGATTTTTAGTTTTGTTGACAAACAGTTTAATAAAATCAGTTTAATCACTTGCTGATATGCTGATGACTATGCTGATATGCAGCTGACATGCTCAAAAAATATATGTTGCAATTTTGGGCTGCCAAGAATTTTCTGCGTTCCGACAAAAGTCCAACTACATTGAGATCTTCTTATTAGAAATTTTGAAACGTGCATTTAGGTCATCAGCAGTACCATGGAGGCCGCCGATCTTCGGGAAGACATGCGACTAGTCGTCTCTGAACTGCAGAGAGAATCAAACCGAAGCAAGAAGTTAGCCAATCAGAAAGCAGAAATAGCCGAAACAGTCAAATCGCTCACTAACGAGAAGGTTCAGTTGGAAGAAAAGATTGCAAACATGGACGATGAAATTCAAGAGGTGTATGAGAAATTGGAAGATGCGAACAATTTGCTGAATGATTTGACAGAAGCACATAGAGACACTTGCGATCATCTTGCAGATGTTACGAAAGAAAAGGTTTCGGTCTTTGTTATAATTAAAAAACTCTTTTTTTTTAATAAACCTAAGCATAAAAACTCGAAGCTATGTAATGAATACTGCATCATAGTTTTTCAGCGAATTATTAGATATTTCATGTTTCTTTTTTGAAAAAGAGTCATGTGGGTTTGAGATTCGAATCTCAAGAGGGTCTTACATTTTTCGAAAAACCAAAAAAAAATTTAAATTAAGGAGTTTCGATACTGCAAAAAAATCTTCTCTTGCAGCTAATAGTAGTCAAAATTCATAAGTTCATTAATGAAGATTCTAATTTTCCTTGATAAAATTTACGCTTTTCCCAACACAGTAGATATGGTGTGTTGGGGTATGGTGTGTTGAGGTTTACAGGGATTATTCTTTGGTGAAATTTTTTTTATATCTCAAAAAGATGAAAAAAAACTTTGTTTGAAAAGTTATATGCGGTATTGAAGAGTTTTTCAATCAGAAAATTGATTATAAGCTAAAATATATAGTTTTTGGTTATTTTTAGCTAACCTCCAATCGTTTTCGGTAAAATATTGGGAGTTGGAGATTTACCAATTTAGCCATGTTTTTGACTAATTTTCTGGTACCGTGAAAATTTCTCTGTTGAATTATTAACGCTCATCATCTAAGCGTGGCGAATGGTGGCCAGTCAATAAGCAGAATGCTCTAAGAGCAGAATGGGTCCAAGAGCAGAAAAACAGAAAAATATTAGTTTTTAACAGCTAATCGGTAAATTAAGTATACGAATTGGTAATAGATACCAAAGAAACAAATATTGCATGCATAATTTGAGTAAATTAACAAGATTTTGCTTTAAAACATTCAATCAAAAAGATAATAAAATTATTCATTTAATGCGTAATTTATTCGTTTTCGTGTTATTGTTGACGATTCTAATAATTGTTTTTATCAATTAGCACGTATAGATCAATAAAAGTCGACATTTTTTGATTTTTCTGCACTTGGACCAATTCTGCACTTGAATCATTCTGCTTATTGCTCCGCCTCCGTGTCGAACATAAAATTTTTTGAAGCCAGCTAATTATTCAAATTGGTATGTTTGATATTGGTAGTCAGTCAAAGTTTAAAGATTTGCTAAATTAAAAAAAAACAACAATTCGACACCAGTCAGGAGACCAGTATATGTTTCCCCAAAAACTTTTCAATATGGACTAGGGGGCGTTTGGAACATTCAGGACTTTGCCCTGATATAGGAGCAGTCTTGTTTTTTAATAGGGGATTTTTTTATGTTACTGAAAGGGTCGACCAAGTTTTTTTTTCATTCAGCCCAATTGTTTTTCACAGCTCTCCCAGAACAAAATAAGAGCCCTCATGGTGACAAAATTTTTTGCACTTCAGGCAAGTTTTTGAAAAAACGCTGTTTTCAGTCATTTTTTGGAAGGTTTTGACAAAAAAAATGCGTTTTCGGTACGCGCTTGCCCTCAAAATTAGTATAATTTGGCGCCAAAGGCAAACCCGAAGTTTTTTTTAGGAATGGTCGGCACAAAATGGATTTCGTAAAATAGTACCCGGGGCGGTTTTGGGGTTTTATCGTGTGTGTGGGGGGGGGGGGGCGGATTTTCAAAATTACAGAAAAAAAACTAGTCAAATATTTGCGTTTGTTCTTCGCGCGCTCCCCTTCTAAAAATTTAGAATTGGTCGCCCGAAGGTGGGACACTTTGATTGGTGTGAGGAAAAGGGAATGCCCCCCCCCCCCCCCCCAACGCCCCTGATAGTACAAAGGGGGGACTTCTCTAAGTTCTGAACGAAGAAGAATTTATTGAAAAATAATGTACTGTTTTCATGTTTCAGGTGGATCTAATTGAAGAACTAGAGCGTAAAGACAGAGAACTAGATCGAGTCAGTGAACACACTAAGAAAACAGAAGATGCTCTTGTTGCCATGGAGACAGAATATGAGATGCTCATCCAAACACACCCCAATGGAGGCAATAATGGAGGAGGGGGCAGGGGGGATAAAGGAAAAAGGATGGATCCCGCCACTTACGAGCAGCTGTTCACGGTGGAAAAAGAGAGTTTAGTTCAAGGTACAAACAAGGCTTTAGTTCGTTTTTTAAAACTCTAGAGCTCGGAAAAATGTTCGAAGGTCGGCAAAATTTTGATTTTTATTTTGAAATTTGCCAAAATCTTAATCACGCAAAAACCTTTTTATAGGCTATTTATTTTTTTTTTGTTTTCAAAATGTTTTTGTTTTTATTTCTTTTCGATAAAATTTTCGTGTTTTTTTTTTGGAAAAAGTATTGGACTAGTTCAAATGGTAAAATGCCTTTGATGACAAAGATGCCAATGCTAATTATGTCCCCCTCGCCACCTGAAAGTAAGGTCGTTTTCGCTTGAAGCAGTTTTACAGGGCTTCTTGCATATCTGGTGATCAGCAAGAAAAATGGAAAAATAAAATTCTGAAACGCGAGGGGAAAACAGAACTGACCAAAAGGATCAGTTTTGAGCAATTGTAGAGAAATTATGACAAATTGACGTTCATGAGTTCTGGTAGGATCTCTTTAACTATCCCCCCTCCCCATGCTACCTAGCAATGAAACCCCCTCTAAAGAACTAGTTTAACAGTTTGTCATACACGAATTTTGTAACGAACCTTCACCCCCTCCGCATAAAAGGGAAACAATTAAAGAGATCCCTCTGTTATTTTTTAGCCCTTCAACTGAATATAGAAGAAAGCACCAACCAAAGAGCCCAACTTGACACCCTACTAACCTTAGTTGAACAACATGCCCCCCATATTCTCAAAATGACAGACATTCCATCCCAACACGAGGAGAGAAGAATGTCAAAGGAGGAGAAAATTGAGGCAATTGCGAGAGGAAGGATTTCCAGAATGAGCGGGGGGCAGTCGCCAGTTGTCAACAGCAGTGAATATCCTGAAGTCAAATTCAACAGTTCGAATGGGCCATACAACGACCATAATAGGCAAAATGGTCCTTATAATCAGCAAAATGGTGGTTCTACTGCACAAAACAGTCAAAATGTACCATACATAGAAGAAAAAGTCCAAAATGGACCATACAACGCACAAAGCAATGTCGGTGATCCATTTATTAAATCTCCTAATGGGTCAAACATTAACGGTAACTATGGGCCATACAAACGTTTAAGCACTTCAACTGAGCCATACAAAGCCAATGGTTCATTAATGGCTCCCATAGATGACGAAAAGTCGAGGAGGATGTCAAATTCGTCACAACAGAATAGAGCGGACCGAGTTGATGGCGCAGGATCTCGATTGACTATGAACAATCAACAAGGTTCTCGCAACTCGAGAAACGCTTTTGTACCTGTCGATAATGACTATGATAATGCTTCTGAATCAGACCAAGAAATATAACTCAAAATGGTGCAGTTGCTTTGATCTATGAACTGCGTAAAGATATCTTTGATACGGTAACAGGATATAGTTTTCATTAAAAAAAGTCGTATCAGGGCGAAGCCTTGAATGTTCCGACTGCGTTTCAAGTGAGTTATGTATGGGGGTCTAACTCATAGAGTAATTTCGGATAGGGTACACCGTCTGCTCGTCACGCTATCTTATTTTCGGCCGGATAGATTCGTGCAACTTCTTAGTCTAATACCGATCCTAATCTTACTCTTATAACTACTAGTCTCAGGGTGTTTAACTAGTCTCTGCTAGGCTCAATAGATCTAGAGTATACTGGTATTGTTGCGGCTGCTGAAGTACTCGGAAGAGTCAACTATTTTCTAAGTTAAATTCAAATCTCTCTGGTGCTGAAATTACAAGTAATTTCAGCACTTACAAATAAGTGGGTAGTTAGTTAGATGGATTGTGATTGGTTAATATTAAATACTTTACAGTGGTAAAATGTCTAAATTATAAATAAAAAAATGTAGTTTAGATCAGGTTCCACCCATCCGGGGTTTACAGAGTTTTTGAGTTCTATACTTTTCTTCTGCAATTGAAGGATGGATGATGATCGTTGGTATGTGGCGAACATCATTTTCGTTTTCCTGTTCCCTGGAGAAGAGAGGTCCTTGACTAGAACCGTAGACCTGATTTCTCTTTAAGAGAAAAGTTCCAGAACGCTGGAATTAGGGATAGGAAGTTATCTTGTTATCGTTTGACAACGAATGTGATCCCCAATGAAATCGTTTAGATTCCAGAATCCAAAATGCTTTGCTATGTCAGTTCTGCTTGCATTTGGGAGGGTTGTTTGTGATCAACCTCGTCTGGGAATGGCGTGAAACTCGTGTTTGGAAGGGATGCCTTGTTACTCGGATCTGTACGTATACTTGAACATCGAGGTGGTCATTGGTCTGGTTCAATGAAGTCCTTTGCTGCGAAGTCAAGTCGTACTCTAAATCCTTTGAGTTGTGATTGTGTGCGGCATGTCGGTTGTAGTTGGTAGCCATTCTTTGTTCAGGTTGTGATGAGATCATCTAGTCTTTGGATGTTCGTTTTTGCTGTTGTGTGTGATCTATATACTGCATATTATGATTTACATTTTATAGTTTTTGGTTAATTGTCTTTTTAGTTATGATCGTGATTAATTGTTTTCACAAAAGCTTTTTATTTTAGTTCAGTTATTTTGAAGAGTTACTCACCCTTGAGTACCTCTTATTAAAAATAAAGTGTGGTCACAAAGCGTGGATGTAGCGCGGTGGGTTAGGCCGGCTATAGAGCATGCTCAGGACGTCCTCTCTGGTGGGTTAGGCCAGGAGTGGGAGTATGATTTCGTGCGGTTTCATTGAGGGGTCCTGTTTTGTGTTAACATTATAAGGTGGTTTTTTCTAGGTTTTCTTATGTTACTTATGGTTGTGTCCTTTTTTCAAACATCAAATTGTTTTTGGTTTGGGTTTGTCTTTCGATTTTTTTGTGTTTTATTAATTCTTTCGTTGACTTTATAACAGTCTTCAAAAGAATAAATTATCCAGTTTTAAGCTGGGTTAATCCGGTTTGGGTACCGTTGGTGTTCTTTTCTTATTCATGCTGTTGTTTTATGGTTTGTGGTGTTTAGTCATTTGCATTGGTTAGTTTAGTATAGTGTATAACTCCATTCCAACCGGGTTAAAGAAAAGTTGGAAACTTGTTATCGTTAGTCAGAGTTGTTATTGAAAGCTTGGAACATAAAATCATTATTTTAAACAATTCTTCGTGGGCGAGCTGTGCGAGTATGGATAGAATTCTTGTGCGAATGAATGAAAAGGTTAGTACTGCTTTCTTAATTTATAAATTTACAGCTTGAATCTGAATTCTTACTATATTTTGGGGAAATTTGAAACTATAAATTTTCATTATATGGAATTTTACTGCTTGTGGTGAGAAGAATTTATAAATTAATTTATTACATTTGTATGAATTTTATGACATTATATTGTGCAAAAGTTTTAGTTTATTGAAATGCTCTTAGCAAATAAGTTTTAAATCAGTTGTAGTTTTAATTAATGAGTTTATATTTTTGTTTGTCTTTTTCGTTTTGTAGATGATGATGGTGAGAAGACTAGAAAAATGAAGTATGACATTATAAAGAATGGTTAGTTAAATATATATTTATTAGTGAATGTAATTGAAATATACTTACCTTAGTTTTCGGCGAAGAAGCCATGTGGGAAGAGGCCTTGGATTAGTTCAGATGATGTTAATAATTTAGCTAATATGCGAATGATGTTTTTAGTTTCTAGCAGTGGCCAAAGCAATTGAAGTGCTTTGATGATCTTTAGTTCTTCGGTGCCTACTGCAAACTCATGAGGTGTGTTCTGGATTAGGTTGTAAAGTTTATGATTATATTTAGTGTTATGGATGAATTCTAGAATTGGAATTTCAATGGGTTGTAGGAATTCATGCGGGATGAGGAAGGGTCTGGATTTTTCGCCCTGGAAAGTCTTTGTGATGGGGTAAAATATATACATTTGGTGGACGGGGTCGTAGTTACGTAGGATGCCGTGGAGGTTAGTATTCTTGATACAATAAGTAAAATTTAGAAAAAATGGTGATGTGTATTTTGAGTTGATGAATTGAAAACGATGGTGGGGTTATCGTGAGGGTGTATGTAAATCAAAGTGATTTTGTATGAAGCGATAATATGTGTAAGTATGTGTCTGTTTAGTGCGTAACATAATATCGTGGGAGCAGTGCAGATCTCGTTCTTGTGGTGTAAGAAAGTGGAAGGTTAGTGTAAATAAATTAAATTTATCTTGGAAGCTTTGATAGGCTCGTGTGTCAATAAGGGCTTCGGAAATGATGTGATCGTGTTTTTTTATCAAAAATGTTAAGTGTAAATAAATATGGTGTTGTGATGAAAAATTTCTCTGTTAGTTGCGGGTTAGCAAAGAAGTCGTCATCTAAAAATTGGTCTTGGTTAGGGCGTATGATGTTGTGATCATAGTATTCGATAGTGAATTCATTAGCTCGGGGTGCGGTGAATGTTTTTAGTAGTTTTTTAAATCCAACGTATGTGAATTGACGTGGTGTGAGTGCTGTTGTTAGTCTGTATAACATATTTTTGCATTGTTCATTATCAGTGATGGTGTTATAAAGTGGTAGGTAAAGAGGGTTAGTGTAGTGATAGTATGATGTCCAATGTAGTGTTGGCATTAGGACGTGTTCGTCAACAAAATTTCTGGTGTCCTCATTAGTAGTAGGGGTATTCAAGGTGTATTGAGGAAATGATGGTAAGTTAGCTTGGAGAAAGGTTTTAGTATTTTTATGTTGTGGATGTTCGAAATATTCTTTAGCTGTGCCTGGTTTGGTTGTGAATGGGTGATTTGGAAACTTCGTTTGAAAGTGCGATAAGCGCGGTTAGTGCTAGTGGATGTGTCTGTTGAAGTGGAGGTTTGGTTTAATGATGGAGTATAATCTGATAGCGGTGTAGGTGTGGGTGGGCCGGATGATGTTTTTATTGATGATAGATGATGTATGGTAAGAGTATGGGGATGGATAATTTGCTGTTGAAGGGTAATATAATTATCTAATTCTGGGGAAATTTGTGGAATATTTAGGGAGTTAATGGTTGATCTGTCTGAAAGGGATGGGGTATATGTTGGGGTGACTTGGGATGCATGAGAGGGAGTGGAAAGGGATGGTAGTGGTTGACTGGCATTGATGGGTTGAAAAGGAGTGTTCTGAAAAATGTGAAAGGTTGGTTTGGGAAAAGGTGGAAGGAGAGGCTTCAGAGTTGGCAAATTCGTCGGGAGTTTCGAGGTCTGAGTTATTAAATTGTGAAAAAGTATGAAAAACTGAAATGTCTGAGTTAGTGTCTGAACTCGTGCTAGATGGTATGTTAATAATTGCAAAATCAGGTTGGTGGAAAGCGAAAAGTGGTATAATTGGGACTGGGTTTTGGAAATTTGCTGGCTGGGAATTTGAGCGGTGGAGGGATCCAACTTGTCGGATCATCGTGGGCTAAAAAAAATGAAGATTTTGAGATTGAAAAGTGGTGGTGTGGGGTTGTTCTATAATTTGTTCATATGTATTATCATTTTGAGAGTGATTTGTTGTTATATGCTGAATAGGGCTGTGTACTGAAAGTGGTCTTAAAATTTGGGTTATTTGTGATTGCTAAATTTCGAAAATTTCTGGGAACTAAAGATAAGGGATGGTTATGTGGTAGGGCTGACACTTGTGGTGCTGTAGGTACCGTGTCTACATTATAGTGTTCTTCGTCGTATGTATTTGGTCTTGTGGCTAGTTTCGTGTTATATTCTTTGATTTGTGCGTCTAAAAGTATTTTGTTGATGGATGAGGAGAAGATTCCAAAAAATCCTGCAAATAATATGCGTGCTACACTTGCTTGACGGTTGACTTGTGTGTGTATAGCGCATGTATTATAGATTCCTTTTAGTAGTGAGACAAGAAATCCAATAAAATTAAACATAGCGTATAAGATAGTCAATCTTTCTAAGATGTAGTAGGGCCATCCTAGAAAAGCGAGTATTTCGTTTTTCAAGGTTACAAAACTGAAAATATTTATGGGTGAAATATCTTGTGGTCTGTATTTTTCGCCGTTTAAATATATATAATCTTTAATGTCTTTAAAATATCCGCTGTAGTCTTGTGTATAAATGTCTGCAAATCCTGCGGTTTCTGCAAGTTTTCTTAAATTTTGATCAATTGATTGTCGTTGTATGGTATCCATTTGTGTGAGTAATTCTTGGAATTGTTATGTTCTAAAATGGTGTTGTATATCAGATTTAGAATAAATTCCAATTGATTGTAAGTCTATATTTGGATTTCGAGTAATGGCTCTAATGCTTTCTGGTGAAAACGTTTTTAGTGATTGCATTAATGTAGGGTATGGTGTTAATATGTAGTATTTATCTTTGTCAGGGTTTAGTTGTACTCAATTGTGGCTATTTTCTGATCCACATGGGACTGCGGTATCCCAAAAATATGTTCTTCTTGAGAGTGTATCAACAAAATGTACTTTGTTTTTGTAGAATATGGGTATTCTTTTGTAACAACGT